CCTGTGTGCACGTTGCTCACACCCGCGTGCCTGTGCGTGCAGGCCCGCAGCCTTCAGGCCGTGCCCAGGCTGGTGAAGCTCTTCAACCACGCCAACCAGGAGGTGCAACGCCACGCCACGGGCGCCATGCGCAACCTCATCTACGACAACGCGGACAACAAGCTGGCCCTGGTGGAGGAGAATGGCATCTTCGAGCTGCTGCGCACGCTGCGTGAGCATGACGATGAGCTGCGCAAGAACGTCACAGGTGCCCTGCCAGCCCACGCCAGCCCTCTCCTTCCCTCCCTCCGTTCTCTGTTCCTCTGTCCCCGCCGCTTCCATTGGTCCCGACTGTTCTTGTGCCATAGGTCTGCAGCTAGCCTCCAGCCCCCAGGCCCCGTGTCCCCAAGCGTGGTCTCTCGGCTGTGTCACAGCCCCGTGACCTGTAGGTTGTATGCAGGCTCTCTCCATGGGGCTCTCGAGCGAGGCTCCAAACGCCAGGAGGGGCCCTGGGAGAGGTTGGGAGCCTCGTCCCCACCCTCCCTGGAGGGCCTGGAGGGGACTAGTGGGCGACTGCTGACCATGGCCACGGCCCCGCCTGCCCCAGGGATCCTGTGGAACCTGTCCTCCAGTGACCATCTGAAGGATCGCCTGGCCAGGGACACACTGGAACAGCTCACAGACCTGGTGCTGAGCCCCCTCTCGGGGGCCGGAGGACCACCCCTCATCCAGCAGAATGCCTCTGAGGCTGAAATCTTCTACAATGCCACGGGCTTCCTCAGGTGCGCCGGGGGGGGGGGGGGGGCCCCAGCAGAGAGAGGCTAAGACGGTGGCCGTGGGGAAAGAACTGGGTGCCTGGAAGGGGGCAGGGGAGGCCTGGAGAAGGGGCACTGGAGTCCCAGGTCTGAATGGCAGGGTGGGGCTGGCCAGGGCGGCGGGCAGAAGCAGCCCGGCCACGCGAGGTACGGGTGCTGGCACAGAAGTGAGACGGGCAGCTGGTCCCAGGCAGAGCGACGATATGTCAGGGGGGCAGCAGGCCCTGGGGTCCGCAGGCTCCCCTCCACTCTGGACACTTGGCGGGGGGTGGGGGAGGACGGGCACGCAGAGGGGCTGCAGGTGCCAGGGGGCGGGGCCCAGCTCAGGGCCAGGAGGTGCCTGGGGCTCAAGGGCTCGGCCCTTGGGACTGGTTCCCACTGGGGGTGCTCCCCGGTCTGCCTCCGTCCGCAGGAACCTCAGCTCAGCTTCCCAGGCCACTCGCCAGAAGATGCGTGAGTGCCACGGGCTGGTGGATGCCCTGGTCACCTACATCAACCACGCCCTGGACGTGGGCAAGTGTGAGGACAAGGTGAGGGGCGGCCACTGCCGAAAGGTCCTGGGGGGGTTCTGGCCCACGCTGACCACGGTCCGCCCTCTGCAGAGTGTGGAGAACGCCGTGTGCGTGCTGAGGAACCTGTCCTACCGCCTGTACGATGAGATGCCGCCCTCCGCCCTGCAGCGGCTCGAGGGCCGGGGCCGCAGGGACACGGCCGGGGCGCCACCCGGCGAGGTGGTGGGCTGCTTCACGCCTCAGAGCCGGCGGCTTCGAGAGGTGGGCGCGGGCCTGGGCAGCTGGGAGCAGGGCCCCCCGGCCCGAACCCAGCTGACCCTCCACACCTCCCACCCAGCTGCCCCTCACGGCTGATGCACTGACCTTCGCCGAGGTGTCTAAGGACCCCAAGGGTCTTGAGTGGCTGTGGAGCCCCCAGATCGTGGGGCTGTACAACCGGCTGCTGCAGCGCTGTGAACTCAACCCACACACGACCGAGGCAGCCGCGGGAGCACTGCAGAACATCACCGCGGGCGACCGCAGGGTGAGGACCCACGTGCGGCCTTGCACTGGGGACACGAAGGGTGAATGAGGAGGGTGCGGGAGCTTTCCAGTTTAGTCTGTTGGAGCGGGATGAACACAGCCAGGTGGATGAGCCAAAACCCAAGACGGAGGGGACAGGACGCTGCCAGGGGTGCGAGAGGCAGGGGACACCGGAGGGGACAGGACACGCAGCCAGGGATGTGAGAGGCAGGGGACACCGGAGGGGACAGGACATGCAGCCAGGGGTATGAGAGGCAGGGGACACCGGAGGGGACAGGACACACAGCCAGGGATGCGAGAGGCAGGGGACACCGGAGGGGACAGGACGTCCAGCCAGGGGTGCAAGAGGCAGGGGACACCGGAGGGGACAGGACATCCAGCCAGGGGTGCGAGAGGCAGGGGACACCAGAGGGGACAGGACATGCAGCCAGGGGTGCAAGAGGCAGGGGACACCGGAGGGGACAGGACGTCCAGCCAGGGCTGCGAGAGGCAGGGGACACCGGAGGGGACAGGACATGCAGCCAGGGGTGCGAGAGGCAGGGGACACCGCGGGACAGGACGCACAGCCACGGGTGCGAGAGGCAGGGGACACCGGGGGACAGGACGCACAGCCAGGGGTGCGAGAGGCAGGGGACAGGGGGCAGCCAGGAGTGTGAGGCCAGTGTCCCAGACGGGACAGGCCCCCAGGATCCCTGAGGGTTTAGGGAGAGGCGTGAGCTGAGAAGGGGCTGACCCAAGTCACACGTGATGAGGCTCCTGTCTGGGCTGTGAGGGCAGAAGCAGAAAGAACAGAGCAGGTGAGAGACGGTGGGGTCCAGTCCTGCCTCAGGGTTCTGGGGAGGGAGAGGGACGGGGACAGAGAAGAGCCCCAACCCGCGGCGCTCACCAGCTCCTCTCCTACCCGCAGTGGGCGGGCGTGCTGAGCCGCCTGGCCCTAGAGCAGGAGCGCGTCCTGAACCCGCTGCTGGACCGGGTTCGGACCGCTGACCACCACCAGCTCCGCTCGCTGACTGGCCTCATCCGAAACCTGTCTCGGAATGCCAGAAACAAGGACGAGATGTGTGAGTCAGGCCACCCCGCAGCCCGGGCTCTGCCCTCACCCTGCCTAGCTGGGCTCACACCTGGGGTTTCTTTCCTGCTGCCCGTTTGGGCGAGCCCCTGGCAAGCTAGAGCCGAGCGGATAGATGCGGGGGTGCGGAACGGGGGGTGGGCGGGCGGCCAGGAGCGGAGGCTGCCTTCCTGACCTCCCCACCTCCCGGCCTCCCGGCAGCCACCAAGGTGGTGAGTCACCTGATCGAGAAGCTGCCGGGCAGCGTGGGCGAGAAGTGTCCCCCCGCCGACGTGCTGGTCAACATCGTAGCCGTGCTCAACAACCTGGTGGTGGCCAGTCCCATCGCTGCCCGAGACTTGCTCTACTTTGACGGGCTCCGAAAGCTAGTCTTCATCAAGAAGAAGCGGGACAGGTGAGGCCCCTCCGGCACCCTCCCTCGCGGCCTAGCCTGTCCTCCTGCTGACCCCTGCCCTCCCGCCCCACCCCAGCCCCGACAGCGAGAAGTCCTCCCGAGCAGCCTCCAGCCTCCTGGCCAACCTGTGGCAATACAGCAAGCTCCACCGAGACTTCCGGGCGGTACGTTCTGGCGACCCAGGGCAGGCAGGGCCGGACCCGGGGGCGGGACATCGGGTGGCAGGGAACAGACCTGGCAACTCACGTGGAACAGGAGACTCGGGAAGTGGGGAACATGAGAAAGGAGACCAGAGACCCAGGGAGGAGTGGGGCATGGGGACCACAGGGCCCGCGGGCAGGAACCCTGACTCTGGGCCCCCCCTCTTCACTGCAGAAAGGCTATCGAAAGGAGGACTTCCTGGGCCCATAGGTGAGGCCTTCCTGGAGGAGGATGCAACGTCGCCTAGCCTCCAAGGGATAGGCTCAGCTCTGCGCTGCTCGCTGGCCAGCCTGGCGGAGAAGGCTGATGGCCCGGGGCCTCTCACGGGAGCCCCGTGTGCCACTTTGCAGGGGCCCAGGCACCAGGGAGGGCATGGGGGTGCTGTTTTAGGGACTTGGCTTCTATAGGGCAGGGGTAGGGCAGGGCTTGAGGCTGCTCGGTGTGTGGGGTGGTGACCGGGTCATTGGGCGGAGGTGGTGAACTGCCAGTGCTGGGAATAAAGATAGCTATGGACACAGCCCTGCAAGTTTCTTCGGCTGGCTCGACCTGGGGGTCCAAGCCAGGGACTCAGCAGCGTCCCTGAGCATAGCCGCGCCTGCCCCTGATGATACTCACCCCGAGTCACTCAAAGCTTCTCCAGGTCAGAATGCCCAGGACCAGGACAAGAGTATCCAGTGGGGAGAGAACTGGAGGGACCAGGGCAGACAGCAGAGGCAGCCCAGGGGCCAACCGAGGCACAAACGCAGCGGTGTTGGGGACCGTGTGTGCAGAGGGGTGGCCACTCCTGGGAGAGCTGCGACCTCCCCTGGCTGAGGTGCTGCCCTGCTGGGCCGTCCACACCCAACACTTGTCTCTGCCCTGCCTCGCCGGGCCTGGGGGTGTCCTGACCAGGGACTCGCACCGTCTGACTGAGCCGTGGGAACCCGTCTCACCAAACCAGGACATTTGGTGGTGAAGCCCCCTCCCACTCACATTTTTACAACAAAAGGCTTCTTCTGCAAAGCTCAGAACCTGCAGACTCTAAGGGGCCTGCCCCTCCTCCTCCAGGACCTGTGTGGATCAGAGCGGGGCTGGGGACCGTCACGCCCCCCAAGCAGAGAGACCCAAGGAGGCTACTGTTAAGAGATGTGTCTGAGCTGGCTCAGGATGGAGGTTGGAGAGAGGGCGGGACTGCGTGGACAGCCAGACCTGTGACTGGGTGGCCGTGGGGATGAGGAAGGGGAGGGGCTGAGGGCCGCGGAGACCCTGAGATGGACGTGCCCCTTCCTGCCCCAGGAGAGGAGAGGCTGAGGCTCAGGCAGGATCTAAAAGGACTTTATTTTCTGGCACAAGGAGGCACACTAGAGTCCCCCCACTTCCCTCCAGGTCTCATGGCTGGTAGTCCTGCTGAGAGGAGACAAACCCCGCCCCGCCCTGCACCCAGCTGTCCTTGGTGATCCTGACGCTCCGGCGGGTGCAGGCTACACGTCATCCTCAGACACCAGGCAGTAGAAGTCCGTGCGGGCACTGTAGTTGCGGGAGCCGAGGTCCGAGACATCCACCTCGCTGCCCCGGCCCTCTCCAAGGGCGACCCCACTTGCATGGGGTGGAGCTGATGGCTCCCCAAAGATAGGCCCTCGGACACCTGGGAAGAGGGTACCACCAGGCCTGAGGCTGGGCTGTCCACAGCCTGACTTCTGCTAGGACCCATGAATGAGGGTCACTCCCTGCTCACCCTCCTGCATAGTGGCATCTGAGGTCCTGGAGATTCCCAGGCAGGCCTTGGGTCCGCGTGCCTCCGGGAAGGAGGCACTGAGGGTGTGCTGGGGGTCAAGCCCACCGATGGGCTGCAGGGAGGAAGTCCCCGCCACCTGGACCCCTTTCTGGGCTCCTCAGCCCCGTGCACCCCCTCCGCCCCAGGCCAAGCTTCTCAGGGTCGGGGTGGGACCAGGGGGGCATACCCAGGTCCCCCTCAGGGTCGGGGTCCAGCTCCAGGTGCAGGGTGCGACCCTCGGGCAGGTGGCCTTGCACGATCAGCATGGGGTCCTTGTCACCCTGCAGCCGGGTCTGGGGGTCTCCCTCCAGGGCTCTGTGCCGCACCTTCCGTGGCAGTGCCAGCTGCAGCTCCTTCCAAAACTCTGAAGAAGGCGCCTGGGGGCCAGGACTGGGCTGTTAGCCTGGTGGCCTTGGCCCCAAAGAGCACACCTGGAGGCATGCGTTCACCTGGCTCCAGGGGCCTCAAAAGAGGCCCCTCTTCTGGGCAGCAGGCCACAGAACCCTCACCCCCACGGGGTCCCATCCACAAGTCCCCACACCACAGAGCTGCCCATGGAGGAGCCCCTCCTTGGAGCCCGGTACCACCATCCCCATTAGGGCGCCCCTCCCCTCGCCCCTCTCCGCACCACGGAGCCGGGCTTCCAGAGCAGCAGGGTCACCAGGTGGCGGTGCTGGCGCAGCAGGCGGAGCGCGGGGTGCACGGGGTCGCGCCTCTGGCCCTCGAAGGTGATGAATATGGGCCTGCGCGTGAGCTCCAGTAGCCGGCACAAGCCCTCCCTGCGCGGGCGGGACCGTCAGGGAGGGGACGAGGCGGGGACCCACCCCACCCTGCGCGGGACCCACCGGAAGCTGTGGCTGCACCAGGCCCGGCCCAGGAATGCTTCCGACAGCACCACGATGAGGCGTCGACAGCGGCTCAGGTTCACCAGGAGATCGGCGGAGGGCTCTGCGAAAACCAGGCGTCGGCGGGACCGAGGAAGGGCGGGGCCCGGAGGGAGATGGGGCGGGGCCCCGGGGGGCGGGCCCGGGCCCAGAACGGGGCGGGGCCACAGAGAGCAGGCCCGGTCTCGGACGGGGGCGGGGCCCGGAGATGGGGCGGGGCCACGGAGGGCGGGCCCGGTCCCGGGACGAGGGTGGTACCATGGGAGGGCGGTCCTGAGCCCAGAATGGGGCGGGGCCACGTCGGGCGGGCCCGGTCCCGGAACGGGGGCGGTACCATGGGAGGGCGGGGCCCGGGCCCAGAACGGGGCGGGGCCATGGGAGGGCGGGCAAGGTCTCCGGACCCGAGCGAGGCCACCAGGCTGGGCCCGCGGTACCCGCGCGTGGCAGGAGGTCGCGGTCATCCAGGAAGAGCTTGTAGCCCCGACGCCGCTCTAGCTGTGGCTTCAGGATGAAGTTCACGAACTTCCGGTCCTCGGGGCTGTCGCTGTAGGAGACGTAGGCGTCGTAGAGTTTCCCGTCTGCGGACGGCAAATGGTCAGCGCCCGGCTTTCCAGGCCCGGGGCCCGCTACCCTGGCCGCCGCCCCCGCCCATTCCGGGTCCTCTAACCCCTCCCCACGAGCTTGGGGGGACCAGGCCTGCCTACCTGGCAGATCCCACCTGGCAGATCCCGCACGCACGCCCACAACGCCGCCTCCAGCTCTGGATGCTGGCCGCCTATCTGGCTTCTGCCGACCCCAGCCCTCTGCCCTCTTTCCTGGACTGCGCGCTCAACAGCCCCTGAGGGACCTCCAGGGTTCCCCCTCCACACCTACCGGGGCAACCCGCCCACCCAAAACAGCCTAGGGAGGTCTCATAGCTGATTCATTCTCTTTGTCCATCCTGGCCCCACGCACCGTTCATCTCCAGCTCCCCGTAGGCGTCTTGGTACCAGAGCAGCACATTCAGTCGACACTTCACATAGAGCAGGGCCGCCAGGAGCAGGGCCAGCAGGACCAGGAGTGAGGCCAGCACTGCGGCCAGGTGGCCAGCTGGGCCTGCGACAGAGCTGCAGTCTGAACCGCTGCCACCCCCACCCGGCATTCTCCAAGCCTCAAGGCTCCCCAGCCCCCCCCCCCCCCCCCCCCCCGGCCTCCCACCTTCCACCCAGTGTACTTCCACTCACCAGCTCTCCAAAGAGTGAAGGAGGAGGAGCTGACATTCCGGATGGAGCAGGTGAAGACCCCATAGTCCTCAGCACTGGTCAGGTTGACCCCCAGAACACTGGACACAAGTACCTCTGATGAGTTGGCCTTGATCCTGGGGAGACCAGGCCCAACCCTCTTACCTGGGGCCTGGGAGCATCAGTGGATGTCCCTGGACTCACCCACGGAGGATGCAGGTGTGGGCTTCCTGAGTAGCCCTTGAGCCAAAAGCTAAGAGAAGTGGCCAAAACCTGGTGGGGGTGTGGATCTGTCTGGGGCAGTCACGTGATCTTGGGTCTGGGTTTTGGGGGGTCAGTGCCTAATTCAGGCCATAGGACTGTGCTAGCACCGTTGGCCCTGGGCTGTCTACAAGGGGCCATCTGTCCCTGCAGTCACTGACCCTTGGTCTGTGTCAAAAGTGGCACTCTGCCCGTGTCCAGGTGGTCATAGACCAGGGTATAGGTGGCCTCGGGTATAACCAGGGTAGTCACCTGACCCTGAACACCCCAGTCTCTTACCGGGAGTCTTCATGGAGGCCACAGTGGCTTCCATTGCCCAGCGGCAGCCCATCTTTCAGCCACTGGACTGAGGGCAGGGGACAGTGGGGCCCAGAGACCACCCAGGCCGTGCAGTTCAGGGAGACCGCACTGCCCAGGGCAGGCTCCAGGGCCTGGTTTCCAGACGGGGAGAGAAAGTTGGGGGCCGTGTCACAGACACCTGCAGAGAGAGGACCCAGTGATTAGCCATGCCTGGAATGCTGGGCTCCCACCAACCACAGATGGTCTGTGGGCCAGGAAGAAAACAAGACGGTCAGTGCCATGTGATGCTTGGTGGCCTCACCATGTCCATGCACAGGTCCCACAGGGGACAGGCCCTGGCAGGGTCTTGGGTGTTCTGCCTGCCTTCGATGTGGCTGCTCTGTCCTCAGAGGACATTGGAAGGCAGGGGCCAGAGTCATAGCTGAGCTGACCCACCCCAGCTCAGGGGGCCCACCTGACTGCCCACCCACCCAGGACATGAGCCCAGCTCCCACATTTTCTGTGTGCACCTGTTGCCGGCAACTGTGACTCCCGCCCAGGTGAACGGCCAGGCATTGCACCCCTCCCCCGGCCCCTCTGCTGGGGGAGCTACAACAAGTGTAAACACCAGGGGTTTGGGGGGGCACAGGTGCTGAGCGTGCCACTCCTTCCACTTGGGATGACAGCATGGGAGTCCAGGACCTTCCTCGGTTGGCCACGAGCAAGCTTTCCCACCTCCCTGAGACCTACGCTTTCTGATCTTTAAATCAGGGCGAAGAGTCCCAGGGGACGTGAGAGGAGACCACCGTCATCTTGGTGGTGTGGTCTCTCGGTAGCCCACACCTACCCATCCTGCCCCCGGGGCCCCCCACTAGCTGCCATTTCCAGCGTCTGTCGGCTTTACTGACTTCCACGACCATAGTCTAGAGGCTTTGGGAAGGAGAAGGCGCAGGGCCTGCCCTAACTGTGGGGTCAGGACCTTGGGCTATGTGGGAGGGGTGAGTAGAGGCCTTTGTACCCCTGGCCGGAGGCCAGTCAACATCACAGCATGGAGCCAGCCCGAGGGATGGGGGTGGGAGTGGGGTCCGTGCCTGTCCCTCTCTGACCCGTCTACCTGCCATGGTCTGGCCGGGGCCTTCTCGGGGCAGGCTGGGCACTGGTGCCACCCCCCGGCTCCTCAGGGCTCCTTGGCTGAGCAGACTGGTCCCCCGGGGCTCTCTGTCTCTGTGGCCGGTCAGTCAGGACACCAGGAGGGGTCAGAGGCTGCTGCCATCCCAAAGGAGAAAGTTAAACAAGAACAGGATGAGTTAACATGTAACCTCGTACCAGTTGCCTGGAGGGTGCCGGGCACACCAGCACAGCATCATGTGTGGCACCTCATGCTGGAGTGGGTACGGCCCAAGCCCTCAGACTTACCTTCGCCTGCTCCGGTGTCACCACGATGGCCCAGGGAGGGCCCCCTGGCACCCCTCATAGGGTGGCACGTGGCTGTGTCCCCACTATTCCCCGGGATAGGGACGCCACAGACAAGGAGGACTAGGGTGCAGACCTCGCTTTACCCAGGCCCTGAGTGCCGAGGGTCACATGCAACCTGCCTGCCACCACGGGGTGGGTGTGGGCTGCTGGCCTCGGAGCCATACTCCCAGCTGTAGCGTTTTGTCCTGGACATGTCCCGTGTGCACGCGTGTGTGGGGACAGGGCACCTGAGCTGAGCCAGGCCACAGTCCTCAAGGCAGGAGGGAGGGGGCCTGGCTGGACTGAGTCTGCTCCAGAAGGCCTTGTGGGTCCCCCCTCCTTCCGGGTCCCACACCCGTGTCCCCCCCGCCCCGTTTGTCATGTCCAAAACCAAAGACCTTTGTCCACATTGTCTAGTTCTCCAAGGGAGTTCCCCACCCCACCACGGGTGACCCTCCTCTCCTCTGTGGGGCTGGGACCATCCGAACCCAGACTCGGAGCAGCCGCAGGTGCCTCCTGACACAAAAAGTTCTAAGGCGACCTGGGCTGAAAGGAGGGGCCAAACCCCCCAGCGCAGGAGCCAGAGGCCTGGGGCCACCTCCTCGAAGCCCCAGCTGATGCAGCAGGTACTTACTGAGACCTCACTCCACTCCTGCCTAGGGCTGTCCTCCCCACGCCTAGGGCCCCAAGTCTCTCAGCCTCCCCTGCGTTCCTTCTGCGTGGGTGATGCCACCGTGGGCCTGGCCCAGCCTCCACACCCCCAGGAGCCCTGGGCTCGGCTGGCTCAATTTCCTCGGGGATTGCTGGAGCATCAGGCAGGGAACTGGTGAGGAGGTTCCTTCCCGAAGCCCTCTGGTGGGGGGCAGTCTCGGGAAGGTCCTTGAAGCAGAACCAGTCCACTGGGAGACTGTGGGAGACGGGGCAGCGCACACCCCCTCCCCGGGGTCCCCAGCTCGGCGGGTCCCAGGGAAACTCCTGCAGTAACACTCACGCCTTTCAAACTCTTAAGATCTTTTACCCCTGGGGAGGCAGTCTCCGGCCTTCCTGGAAGGTAAGGCCAAACTGCACAACCTCCCCCTGCGCACCCTCCCCTGCATAGTCTGTTGTGCACACCACATGCACACACAGCCCCCTCCCCATGCACACCTGCACTACAGGCCCCCCCCCCCCGCACCTCCAGCACTCTTGTGGCCACACACACAGCACACACGTACTTGCAACGGCTCGCACAGGGCGCATGGCCTCGAGCATCTGTACAAACCCCACACCGCACGCTGCATCTCACACCTGCCCTTGCCACCCATGGCGCGCACACAGCCTCCTGTCACCCCCTGCTCTTACAGGCACACACAGGCTACACGTGCTGCGGGGCCTCCCCTCGGCCGGGCCCGACTCTGAGGACCGGCCTCAGGTCAGAATGTGTCCTAGGGCAAGGACACAGGCCCACGCGGAGCGGCAGGGCTGTCGGGGGAGCTCACGAAGTCACCTGGTTCCGGCTCTCTCCTCCTGGGGGGGGATGGCGGTCGTCGAGGTCATTGATGCTCGCTTGGGAGCAAACTGTGTGCTCAGCTGGGCCCCGGGTCCGGCCCGCAGCACCGCAGCCCCAGAGCTCATCGCCAAGCACAGTGAGGACCTGCCTTTTGTTTGTGTGTGTGTTTTAATCAGAACTTTCCCTGCAGCTTCCTGGCTTTACAGTCACATCCTCTCCTGACCCCAAACCCCACCCAGGCAGGCGCGCAGTTGGTGGTTCTCGCCCCTGCCCCGCCTGCTCAACTTCTTCCTGTTAACTCCGAGTCAAGCTGCTCCTTCCTCCGGGGCCCACCCCAGCCCACCGAGGCGGCGTCCTTCCCGAGGCCAAGCCCGGGCGATGGAGAGGAGGTTGCGGAGAGGCTGGGGCCCCGGGTGATGTGAGGGGGTCCTAAGGAGACCCCCCCCAGTCAGGGCCATCCCGCACACAATCTCATAGGGTCACCGCTTCCCAGACACAGCCTACAGAGTGACACTCAGGATGGTGAGAGCCTCCAATGTGCATCCGGCCTGTGACCTGCTGGGGTGACGGGAGTCCTGTGGATATTCCTGCCAATAATGGGGCCTTGAGCAGAGCTTCTGGGCTCCCTCCGGGTCCACTTCCCCCCTACAGTGCCCAGACAGGGGCTGTGGTATCACACGGACCTTAGTTTCAGGCTGGGATGGGAAGGCAGTCCCCCCTTTTCCAGATAAGGAAACAAGAAAAGGCCTCAAGAGAGGTTCCTGGGCTCTGAGCCCAGCTGTGGGGGGGGGGGGGGGGGGGGCAAGGCAGCTGGCATCCCCTTTTGTCACTTTCCCTCCCAGACTGACTGGGACTCAGGGCCCAGAAATCGGTGGCTGGCATCACTACCCATAGAAACCGGGCAAGGGTCCCCTTCAGGCCCTGTCCCTGCTTTCACCTACCCAGAGCAGAGGCCCACCAGTGGGCCACCCTCAGTACTGGCTTTCATTTGTCCTTGCTCTGACCCTACCCCAGCCCTGCTCACCCCCACCCCCACCCCATGGCTGGCAGGACCCTCAGCTGATGGTGCATCTAGGGCTCAGGGTCCCACAGAACTACCGGAAGACCTGCCCGCACCCTCTCCCCACCGCACCCTCTCCCCACCGAGTTGCAGCTTCCTGGATGCGCGCGGGTATTGCTACCAGCCCCTCCTGGAAGGTGCCTCAATGGGCCTGACGCCCAGAGGTGGATGGTGTAAGCACCTGGCATACAGTCGTCAGTGACCGGCCTAGGGGTACCCAGGGAGGACACAGAGAGCCCCGAGCAGCCTTGCTGCCTCTCAAGGTTCCTGCCAGACTTCCTGTTGCTCAGTGTGTGTCCCCCGGTGCCACCATCTCACAGCCATGACGGCCCCCGCCTTCTTCCTCTAAACTACACCCTCCTCCCCAAGCTCACGCTCCAAGGTGAGCGCCCACAAGCCCACGTCACCTCAGGCACCATCAAGAACCGCCCCTCCCCTCCCCCCACCCCACCCCCACCCCCATCCCCAGGGGTTCCTAGGGGTCTTCTGCTTGTGCTCTGACTGGAGGTCTGGCTCCCTCAGCGGCGGCGGCACAGGAAACGGCGGGGGAAGGAGGGGGGGGGGGGGGGGGGGTGGGGAGGGGCGGCGATCCCACCCCTCCGCCGTCTGGTTTGCTGCTTAGGACCCCACGGTCTCGTTACATCTTCCGCTCAGCGGGCCTGCAGCCCTCTGTGCGCCACGCGTTTGCTGCGCCCCCCGACGTATCTCCCGCAGGACAGAACCGCACGCAAGGTCTCGGCCCCGCAGGCGAGGAGCTCTGTCCCGCTCCCCCGGGCCACACGCCCCGTTCTCCTCCACTATACACCCCACCTCCGGCGCTCCGCCTCAGTCAGGGGCGATCCGGATTTAGCAGGCCCCCACCCTCCAGGCGCGGTGAGCACGCGGGTGGGGGTCGGGCACAGAGGGCGGGGACGCGGGTATCGCGATGGGAACGCGCACCGAGAGCCGAGGGCGGACTGGGGCGCGCACGAGGGGGCCGTGGATGGCGGGTCGGGCGCGCACGGCGGTGGCGCGGAGGGCGCGCAGGCCTAGCACGGCAGGTGGGGGCCACACACGGACGGCGGGAGCGCGCGCGTGACTGTAGCTCCGCCCGGCGACCAGCGCCGCGCACGGCCCCAGCCGGCTCCTCGGTACGCCCCGGGGGCCCTGGGAGGCCTCGCGCCTGGGATCCGAGCTGCGGGCGGCGGCGAGGGTCCCCGCGCGCCTCCGCGTCCCACCTCCCTCCCCTGGGCAAAGGTCACGAGGAAGCCACTGCCCACGTCGGGCGGAGCGGGAAACGTGGCCCTTGCGGTTCCCCTCCCTCCCCCCCCCGCTCCGCCGCCAGGCCCACGGGGCCGGGACGCCGATAAACTCAGGCTTCCGGGCGACGGGGACAGCCGGCCCGACTCCGAGCCACTTCCTGCGGGACCGCGCCCGCCACGGCCCAGAGGCTCTTCGGGACAAGGGGCCCCCAAGCTCCAAGCCTAGTCCGGCTCCCAGGAGCCGGCGACCTCAACTCACCTCCGTGGGTCTGAGCCACTCACCTGCTGCCAAGACCTGGGGATCGCGCCGACCGCGGGGGCGGGGCAGCTCACCTGAGCCAGGTGCGCCGCGGCGACGATCCCCGCGGCGGCGGCAGGTGCGGCCCCGCCCAGCAGCCAGGGCCAGAGGGCGGACCCGAGAGTCCCGCTTTGCGCCCAAGTCCGGCGCTTAAGACCGTCCTGCTCTCAGGCGCCGGGAAGCCTCGGAACTGCGGCCACGCGGCCTGGGGGCAGAGGGCGAACCGGCCCAACCAGCCGGCAGAGTCTGGGACCTGGGGGACTCCTCAGAGTTTCCACTGTCCCCAGGGGCACCGTTCTGGTTCTGCCCCTCCTCCCCAGCTCTTCCTCCGGGAAGCCTGCCCCTGACCCTCCCGTGCAGGGACGGTAGGATCTCAACACGGCGCTGCTCGCTCGGAAACCCACGGAAAACCAGAGGAGGACCAGGAGGCTACCACATTCCAGACTTTGCTCCATCTGGGAGAATTTCCCATCTAGCCCTGAGGACAGACACAATCCACAAGAGGCCCAGAATTGACATGAAGAAGTTGTTATTTTATTATAGAAAGTTCTTCAGGCTGAGGAGAGCCAGAGAGGTGGGGTCAGGGCCCCCTGACCAGCCAGAATTGGGGGGGGGAGGTAGGATATGGGTCCCACAAGTCAGAGAGAGGCTCAGGAGACTGGGCTGGTTTTCCTGTGTTCTGACCGCTGAGAAGCACCCCCCCTACCCCAGTTCTGTGGGTGGCAGGAGGCAGTCAGAGTTCAAGTCAGGGCTGTACCAAGCCTGAGCCCTAACACGTGAAACAGGCCTCCTAGACAACAGAGTGCTGCTCCGCAACATCTCAAACGCACGCAGGCCCTCCAAGACCCCGCGTATACACCCGCCTCCCGGGACCCCACACATAAGCGGTGGGGGGGGGGGAGGGAGGTGGTGGTGGCTCTGAGTCCCAGCTCCGGGCACCAGTCTTCTTGGCCAGCTCTGGGTCTCCTACACATCTGTGCTCTTGCTGCTGGAGCTGGAGGCAGGACCGGGATTGTTGGGGATCAGGGCGAAGTGTTGGGGTTCAGGGTGAGGCCCTACCTCGGGCCGGCCCACCCCCGCCTGGCCTCAGCCTCCCATACCGTATCTTTTCCCGGAGTGTCCGGTACTTGTCTTCCAGAACCTTGTTCTTTACCGACTGGGGGACATCGGGCACGAACCAGGCGGCAATGAGCTTGATGCACAAGGCCACGTGCTGGGCGTGGGGGGACGGGACAAGGGCTGAGCAGGCATTTTAGGGGCTGGGGGCCAGGGAGAAGGGCTGGAGAGAGCCGCCTCCATTGTGGGGCCCCTCCCCCAGTTCTGGCCCACCTCAAACAGGATAAGGAAGACCAGGCGGATGGCCAGGAGGACCCAGAACTGCTCGGATAAGTTGTAGTCCTGAGCGTTGCGATAGTCCCGGTACCTGGCGGGGGGGGGGGGGGGGGGCGCCCCCCCGGCCCGGGGGCCCAGCGCCGGAATTCAGAGGTTGCTCACGGGGGCTGGGGGAGTCCAGACCTGCACTCAGTCACGTTCTCTGAGCCCTCTATCCGGATGGGGTCCTGGAAGTCCTTGGTGTGGAACACGGACAGACTGTGGTTGATGTAACCTGTGAGGCAGCTGGGGGAGGGAGAGAAGGGCAGAGGCAGGTGTGGGCTGCAGAGCGTGGCCTCTTCTGACTTCCAGGATGCTTTCCTGGAGCTAATCCCTGTGTGGTGGGGGCTGTCAGGGTGGAGCACAGCACGGAACCCCCTTCATTTCTCTGCGTGGGAGAGGGGCCTCTGGGGGTAACTGAAGGGACTGAGAGGGCCCCCCTGCCTTCCGTGGCAAAAACCGAGGGGAGCCTTCCGGAGGGAGACCCCTGCAAACCCCATCTGTAGGAGCAGTGGTCCCCTGTTCGGCCCTCTTCTGTGGAGCAGACCCCAGAGGATCTGACTTTTGGGAGGGAGTCGTTCTGGTGGTGGCTGCTCAGAAAACAGCTCCTGCTGGGACCTTAATTCCCCCATGGGGGTTCCTAGCAGATTGTCACGGGAGGGCAGGACCCCCCTCGGGCCCAGATTCATGACAACCACAGACAACACTGGCCACATCAAGCCCTTCCCCTGCGCTCCCCTAGGGCTGGGCTGTGGTTGGGCCAGTTTTCCCAGGCGTCTCGGGACGGTTTGAGGCTCCCCTGGCGCCCCCTTACTCGACTGCAGGGTCGGCCCCCTTTCGGCACGGGCCGTAGTGGTACTTGTACACCACTCGGGGGATGAACTCCGACGTGAAGGCGATGACCATTCCGTTGGCAATGACCGCCAGCACGCCGATGGTCTCCAGCACCTGCAGCCAGGTCCCTGGGCCACAGCAGTGGGGTGAAGCAGTCTGCTTCCTCCAACCCTGATCCTCTGACACTGCCCGCCCCACCTCCACCCATGGTCCCCCAAGGCTGGGAGCCTGGATGGTCATGGGGCCTTGTCACCTCTGCCCATGCCTCTGCTCAGTGGGCAGCATTCACCGACGAAGAAAACCTGGGCCGTGGCGGACATAGACCAGGAGGGGCTCAGGTCCCCCCTGGCCCCCATCTTCTGCCTGAACCCCTCAGCTGCCCCAAGCTTGCCCCACTCCCGGGTCAGAACACCTTAACCTGGGCCCTAGAGTGGGGCCTCTCCCCCACCCCCCCACCTCTCCCTCTGCCCACACCCAGCACCCAGTCCCCTCTGCTCTTCCCTGATACCTGGCCATCTTGGCAAGGACAGTCTGGGTGACGGAGGCCACCTCTTAGTCCCTGCCCCCAGCTGCTGGACCCCTCCCTCCCTCAGCTCCGGGCTCTCAGAGCCCAGCTCCTCTGCCTGGGCCCCCCCCCCACCCCAAGCTGGATCCTCCTCTGGGAGGGAGGCAGGGGCCTGCGGGTGCACACCAGCCCCGCCTCTTCCCGGGGCCTGAGCACCACTCTCCAAGGCCAGCTCTCAGCCTAGGCAGAACCTGGGGAAGGGCTGGGGGGAGGGGGCTTATCTTGGGATCATTTCGAGGGCACCACCTGGTCCCAGCACCCCTCGCCACCCCGCCCCTGGCTGGAGCGCCCGTGCTCCTCGCCACCGAGTCGGGCCCCTGACCGATGTCCTTGGCCTTGCGGGGCACCAGGCGCCGCTGCAGCCTGACCATCTTGATGGCGTCCAGGCGGATCTCCACGAGGTTGCTGAAGAGCGCCAGCAGCGGGGCGAGCGGGAAGGCCGCCACGAAGATGGTCGTGAAGCCGTACTGGATCACTGGGGGGTGTGGAGATGTCCCCTTGTGCCGTGGGGCACGCCACCCCCCAGAACGCCCGCCCCCTCGGCCAGTCCCCCAGTACCTGCCCCCCGAGACTCGAGGTCAGGCCCCCAACTCCACCCACGTACTCATCTCCATGAACTCGTCAAACAGGCTGAAGGTGTTGACTGGGTTCAGGAGGTA